CACAGATCTTGAGATACCTTGAGATACCTCACCCTTGAATTGGCATATATGTCAAGTCTGATCACAGGAAATCAATGTTTTGATTGGAATTGTAGAGATCATTATCTGCTGTTTGCATAGATTGGTATTCATCTTCCACATTTATTAATGCTGCGGATTTTACTCCATACCAAACATTTACCTATGGTCATGTTGATCATAAATGCCCTGCCATGTAGTATTTGTCAATTGCCAACCACCCATAAGCATCCTGTAAATATCTGCTTTGAGGCATCCTGCTAATTTCACCTACATCTATCAATAAAATGCTCATCTTTTGCCCACGATATTTAATAAGCCTTAGTGAAACAATTATCTCCAACGACCTGGTAATTTTTTGGGCAAAGCTGGCCTATGTTTCAATCCGGATATGAGCCAGTTTTGGTAAATATGATGAAATGTAGATTTGTGTTGACATTCTTTCTGGCAAAAGCTTATAAGCAGGTATAGAAAATGTCTTATTCCTGAGCCAAGAATATATTTTTTTCAGGTAAAAGTTATTTACCCCTGTTAATATAAAAAATAAATTGAGTCATGTATATACTTGTCATGCTGTTGATGTTTTGTGAGAAATCTGATTAGTTAACTATGTTGGTAAGAGATAAAATAAAGCAATGTGGCTGCTGTTTGGAGCTGTTTTTATTGGCAAAGTTAGTCTGATAACTAATATATAATATTTTCTGGCATAGCCTGTAGCCTTTGAGCTCATGATAATTTTTTTTTTGACAGACTTAACAGTCACACTTTTTTAAAATTCAAATACTGGTACTTTAACTGCTAAAATAACTTTTTTTCTTGAAGTGTGAAGTTTTTCTAGACAACACTCAATACTTGCAGTTACTCCTGAAGGAAAAATACTCTTTGCGTATTAAAGCTTTGAAGCTAGATCACTACTTTCCCAACAATCCTCATTAGTTTCCAGAATTATTGAATTAAAAAATTGAATTATAAAGTAAAATTTAATTATTTTATATAATAAATGAAATAAAATTGAATACATATGAATATACCAGTAAGAATTAATATACCAGTTTTTTTGGAATAAATAAAAACAGCATAATTAGTTAAACTTCAAAAGGTCAATGTATTGCATAAACATTTTTATTGACAAGTTTGAATTGATTAATAGAGAGTCAAATAGGTTAAAATGATGTGCACATTTCCATTTATCTGCCTAAACGCTCAGACATGGGAGAACTCCATTGCCAAATAATTGAAAAAAAGTTACAATCATAGATCATTAGTTGGAAAATACAAATTCAGTGTAAAACTTCATTCAATCCATTCGTCTTCTAAAAGTAATTCTTTTTTTGTGACGCATTTTTAATCACGCTATAGAATCATCACTCATTCCCATCATCTACTAAAACTCTTAACAATGTTTTCATTACCATTTCCAAACTTTCTTTAACGTTTACGTTGATTTGCATGTTAGGACTCTATTTCGCACTCATTCCATAGCCTGTCGATACGGGATGCCATCATACGATATCTCAAGGCACGATTACTTGATATCAAGACAGCAGCGGTAAGCCTTCATGAAGTCTACCCCCAGTAAGAAGAGCTCTTCATCGGACTGCATCACCATACTCGGGAACACGAGCGCCTTGTCCTGGTAAGAGGCCGGCACTAGCACCACGGTGCCTGTGATATCTTCTTGCCCTGCTGCTCCTTGAACGCAGCTGGAAAGCTTCTCCGAGTAGTCAACCAGTTTATCCAAGTTACCTTCCCTCACCATTGCCGAAGACATGATGGTATTGCTACAACCCGTATCGACCATCGCCTTAATTTCGCGGTTCAGGATGTTCAGAGTGACCACAAAAGAGGTTTTCTAACACACTTGCTACGTTTACATTCCTAGCAGTTGCTTCTCTTCGAGACTTTGCTCAGGGTTCCCGAAGCTTTAAATCCTGGTCGATCTTCGGATAATTTGGTTTTGGGGGTCGGCGATGTCATGTGTGCCCCGCACGTTGTGCCACAAGTTTTAGTTTGTATTTTACGCGAGTCTCAGACTGAGCTGCCGGTGTTGTCGTTGGATTTTCTGTCGCATAAGCTGCCCGTTTTTCGACCGAGTCCGTACCATCATCAAGTCTCTAATGTCTTTGGATACATCATTGTACGCTTTTCTCATTTCAACAGAATTAATGACGTTTTGATCCAAGCTTTCATGCACGTTGTATAGGTTGACTGTCTTACAAAATTTGCTCATGAAGTCGATGCCAAGAAGCAGAGGAGTAACAAGCCCCTCCACAACCTGGCACTGGAAGACAAAGTTCATCCTGTCGACTGTCGCTGGCACGAGCTGGATCCTTCCTAAGACTTTCATCTCGCCTCCCACTCCTATCACCTCAGGCCTGCGCATCTTGTAGTTCTATAGCAGAGGAGTAAGACGACATCTCTGCATTGTCTCTACTGACATCGATGAGATTGTGCAGCCGGAGTCAAGAAGTGCGTATACTTCCTAATTGTTTATCTTCAGTCGGGAAAGCACGAGAGGGTTCAACACTTGGTATGGCCCTAGCAATTGGTTTCGCATCTGACGTATTTCTTCGAACTGAAGGAAGTCCGTTTCAAATGGGGATTATGCGATGCGCTCTAAACCCGCTACTGCATCTTTAACAGCATCTCGGCCTCTGTCTGGGTTGTACATTGCCATCATATTTACGGACACTTTGCGCGTGATTTTCCTCCTTAGAATTTGAACGCAAGCTATTTTATTTTTGCTGCAACTATATTTTTTTAAACAAATCTAATTTGATTTCAAATGCAAACTGATGAATACCTCGTGACGTTGAAGTACGGAACTTTCATTCACTTCTGTAGAGTTTCCATGTGATCAATCCCCAGTTTCGACGGTTTTGCCATTAATAACTGTCCCCGCGATGTCGAATTTCCCTACATAAATTTCTCTTCTGTCGAGCAGGATGCTTATGTAAAGCTCGTAGTTATGATACTTTACCGAGGAAATTTTTGCGCTCGCGGACTCAATCTTTACAACTCTTCATATATTGTACGATATAAGTAGTGACAGTTCTTTGCATATAATTGTCTTTGGACAGCTTGCAAACCGCGGCATGGTGGCTTCTTTGTGCTGAACGGTATAAGTACATGAACGAACGAATTAGAAGACATAATGGTGAAAAACATGAATTTGGTAAAATTTTTTGGGACTCAGCAAGTTCTTCCCCATCAATGTCCATTTGTATTTGCCATGAACCTTTTGTTATGAATTTTCTTCATTGTTTCAGTGTTTTTTTCTGATATTTTGATACTGTTAATATAATTTACGATGATAATTATGTTTGATAGTGTTAATATAATTAATATAATAATTTAAATTAAAATGAAAACAAGACGATGCAAGTCCGAAGGTAAAGATTGGTCTTGAGCCTCGTATTATATTCAGGTTCAAGTATGTAATGTATGCTCCCTGTTTTTGCGTTGTTCTTTTTATTAGTGCATTAAAAAGAGGATTGTTACCATGGAACGTAACGGCCGTCCTCGTATATAAACTGTAACTAATAATAAATGAACAATCTTCTGTAGATTGCAGCTATGGAACTAAATCTACTCTCCTGCTTGTGTATTGAGAGCGATTCGCTACTTTAACGTTTTATCGTTGATTGCCGAGTCTTGATCTTCGTAATTTGCTATGCTTTATGTTTAGGGCTTTAATTAAGGACTCCATCTAAGGAAAGCTAACTCTAGGTGCACTAAGGACACGTACGTGTAACTAATCTTAGGAGTGCACTAAGGGCAGGTAACTAATTTTATGAGTGCACTAAGGGCAGGTAACTAATATAAGGAGTTCAATAATGGCAGGTAACTAATTTAAGGGATGCACTGAGGGCAGGTAACTAATTTAAGGGATGCACTAAGGGCAATTAACTAACTATTCTAGGGGCAGTCAACTGCACGATGCCCCTCACTGTTGCGCCTTTCACTTGTTTCCTCACTAGCTTCTACCTTCGCTTTTTTCCGCCCCACTGATACTAGCGTCACTTTCGTCTCCCTCACTTCTGCAGTTCCTCCCTCAAGGGTACTCTTTTGCCCTCGCTGCAACCCCCTCAATCTTTCTTCCCCTCTCACTCCTCCATCTCCCCTCTCACTCCACCATCTCCCCTCTCACTCCACTTACCTCCCCTCTCTCCTCCATCTCCCCTCTCACTCCACCATCTCCCCTCTCACTCCACTTACCTCCCCTCTCACTCCTCCATCTCCCCTCTCACTCCACCTCACTCCCCACTCACTCCTCCATCTCTCCTCTCACTTCCCAGCCTGCACGTCTCCCCTCGCGCGCTGCGCAGCGTCACGCCCTGCTGCTGCTCGCCTCGCCTCCGAGGGTTATTTCAGTAGCCCGCGGGCTGTGGTCGCGTGAGGGTATGTGTGCTGCTCTCAAGCGACCATCGCTCTCCGTGGTGTTTCTATTGTGTGTAGTTCACTGCCTCTCACTTTAGATAACAAAGCGCTCGTCTTAGCGCGTAATGATGTTTCCCTCGTGCAAGAAACATTGTCGAGTTTATTTTACACCCCCTATGTGTACAGAGATTTGCATTAACGTAGATGCTGCAATTGCGGTCTCTACATACGCTAGTAATACGCTGCGGTCATTTGGTTTGCTTTGCCTACATTTATCTCTGATTTTCTACTATGCATCATTTTGCCTGCAGGTTACACTGATCGCTAAGAATTTCCTGAAATATTTAATTCGCAGACATTGTTTGCGTGTGTTTAGTTGATTGCTTTCTTTATTGAAAATTGTAGATTTTGATACTTAATATTTAAAGGTTAGTTATGATAGTGATTTTGAAAAGTTTTCATGATGCCGAATCTAAGTTGCTATGGAAAGTTGGTCAGAATTGAGTACCGGGAACTTTACCTTTCGTCAGCGATGTGCTACTATTTAGTGAGCTTATAGTTTACTTTCATGTTTATTATAAAATATTTCTTTATTCTTTTCAGAAAGTTCCACCAGTGAACACGCACAATTGTGAGTGTCAAAAAACATTTCGTGCTTATTTATTATTTCTCTGAAAATCGGAAATACTGTTATTAAAAAATCAATTCTACAGTGAATTAATTTCCTGAAAATCTGCTGGAAATTCAAGTACTTGTGACTTTTTTGGAGTGATATCAGTGAAAAATCGTGTTTTTTTTATTTGTGTGAAATGAAATGAATTCATATTTATCTTCCTAATTTGTTTCTGTATTAGCGTTATTCTCCCTCTGGAATTGTTGCACTTCTCGTCTAAATTCTTCGTCGGTGAGGAGGCTGAACAAGGGCTCTAATGTATGCCCCATGCAACATTTTACAAGAATAAAGTACGAGGTAAACTTCATTATTGGGATCAGTATTTAGATTTTGTTCGCGATTTCACAGTTGTAATCACCGTGTTTAAGATTTCGTAAACCCCTCACCGAACAGTTCGATGTACAGTGTAAGAATATAGAACACAACGATAATTACAACGTTTACGGAACGGCAATAACGCAATATACTGCCTCTGATTTTCTCTTGTCTCTCCCTGCAGCACCTGTTCCGACCATTTGTTCATAAATATACGTAGCCTACTTCCGAATGCTGGCCATTCCAATCCTATTGAAGTGGAATGCTAGTCTGACCTGTGACGAGATAACTGTGCTCGGATTTCCATTGATATTAGATGATACGAAGATAATATTGATATTTGACAAGAAACTCGACAGGCTTGGTGATTGATGGTCGAATGACGACCGACCCTCGGATGACTCCGTAAATATTGGAAACCTGATGATGTCTTCTTGGGAATTTCTTTATTTAGTTCAGTGAAAATATTTACGCTTAGTGAATCCGTGAATTCAAAAAGCTGTGTTTTTTAATGTGTTCATGATGTGCTACTATTCTTAAATAAGTGATAAGACGAAGTGCGTAGTTTACAAAATCATTAATGGTTTCATTACGAACTATTGTTTTGCATTTAACATTTCTCTTATCTCTAAACGAAATTTTAAGATCTCAACTTCCCGAAAAAGTGAATATATGAATAAAAATCACGAAGAAATGCCAAATAATCTAAAGCATGCCTGCAATTTCATTTCAATTTCAACTTCCAGATGGTGTATTCAGCCAAAGTGCGAAGTGCAATAGTTTCATGGAAATGTGAAGTAGGCGCTGTTTGCTTGCGTTGGTCCGGTGCTGCGGCGCAAATGCAGTGCCTACGTGTTACTTTGAAATAATGTTACACGTTACCTTGAAAGAACGTTATGTGTTAGCTTGAAATAATGTTACACGTCACATTGAAATGATGTTATTCTATAGCGAAATTCCCGGGCGGTCACGCCAGTACAATTCGTTTCCTTGCGAGCGGAATTTATCTCATTCACAACCCCTCTCTTATATTCCTGATGAGCATCGGTATAATTTGAAGCCTGATGTACCCCATCCAGAAACACGTTTTGGGCACAATCACTACGAAGGCCCTTTGTACCCTTCACAATACGATCCCGATGTCTTCGAAAACAATTTATCATGTTATCGCTTGCAGCACGAGTCTGCATGCAATTTTTGTATCTCTGAGTTACAAGAACCGTCGTATAAATCCCGTGTAGGCGGTGAACTGGAGGTCCCTCATCCGTATTCTCAACTCTCCGTGTCTCCGGACGCTCGTCTTGAAGTTGAAGATGAACGCGAATTCTTGAGAAGCGCTTCATCTGAATCGTCTGAACTCCTTTACAAATTCCAGAGGCTTAGCGGCAGCTTCGCAAACCAAGATCGATCTCGGATGCACGACTGTAGCACAAAAGAGCCTCCTGGACCTTTACTGAACCGATGCTGCCATCTCCCTTGCTCTTATTTGAACCGCCCGTGCCCTTGCTTAAACCCCCTTTGCATTTCCTTAAATCGACCTTTCTTTTCCTTAAACTGTCCGTGTTCCTCCTGTTATTTATTTCTTCCTACCTTAAATCTCTTCAAAACAATCTCGAATGAAAGTTTAGTGTATATCATGCTGTGGCTCTTAAATGTGATGTTTAACATCACTCAATGCTTTAAATATCCACTTGAATTATTTTCAATTTTTACGTATTTTTTGTTTATGCTCGGTCCCAAAGTATTATGTAGTTTGAGGAAACTCGGAGAGCCATTGCAAAATTATGCTCTCGCCAACAGTGCTGCTCGATCATTAAATGCCTTGTGCCGAACTATTCGAGCGATGTGTGGAAAAGTTATGCATGATGCCGCTGACATTGGATATTCCGAAACATATCGTAGGCATTGCTTTCGACCCAAGTCCAGAGTGAATGTAGGCCTAAAAATTCTTCAAGCGATGACGATGTTCGCAGTTTTGTGCGGTGCAGTCGGCGAACAGAGCGCGGTTACCTCCACTGTCGGCTGCCTCAGAAACGCTTGCCAGGTTTCCTCCTTTGAAGTCGATGAAAACTCTTGGGCGTGTCGACGAGCGCATTATCTCTCTGATGAGGCCCAAATTGGCTCTGAATTTGCCTTGAAAAATGATCCTTTTGGCGGTCGCTACGCAAGAGACAGGATCGAACGATCGTTATTTGAAGGTTCGCCCACTAATGATCCCCTCCCTTTGTGGAAGATAAGGAACGTCAGAGACGCAGGACGCGACCAAAAGCCATTCAGCCCTCAACGCCCCGCTAAGAATAAAAAGTTCGGAGCTGGCGATTTCGATGACTATTCCTCCCAGGATGAATTGCTTCAACCAAAAGCGACTGCTTTCAGATCTGCTGCTTTTAAAAACTCGGACGTTGATATTGCGCATGGCCGGCCGAACAACCGGCGGCCAACCAACGAGTACGGAGAGCGCTACCTGCTCACAGAGGAAGATTTAAATAACCCAGATTTGATCCCATGGGGGTCTCCGGACCAAGACGCTCCCAGGCCTCGTGTTCCTCAGCTCCCTCATCGTGCCAAAGAGATCCCAGATCCTCTAAATTCAGGAAGATTACCTATCCCTCGCATACCTGAGAGGGTTCCTCTAGCAGGCGGGGCTGTGGGATCGAACCCGCTGTATCCCGGCCGCATCCCGAACTCGCGGAACGCGGCCGTCGAAGGATTTTTGGACCGCCAACCTGACGTGCAAGTCAGCGGCGTCGTAACAGTGAAAGAAGTCACGTGTAAGCCGGTCGGTGTGAAGCTGTCCAGTATAGAGCAAGTCTGTCCAGAACAACTCAGAAGTCTTGCTTACCTCGTCAGAAAAATGTGAGATACTAATTTTATTAAATGCATGTTTTTCTAAATTCCTCATCTATTGCATTTCTTCCAACCCATGAAGAAACTTTGTCTTTCGTTTACTTTCTAGATTCACTCAAGAAATAAAAGCTAACTAGACTGACCTATGGCTAACTCAGTTCAAATTAGTTGACTAGGTGGGTATTCTCGTCCACCTCACGGGTGTAGTTGCATGGGAAATTCGGTGGTTGTCCGACAGCTGATATGAAGTGCCGAGCAGTGAGCGCTTGCTGTTGCTATATTTGTCGGGTGAACCTGAGTTGTACTAATTTGCTCAAATGACGTCAGTTGTTCACTGTTGTTGCAGTGTACGTTTGGGTGCGAGTCGTAAGTAAGTGTATATCTGTCGGAGTGGATTTGAGTACGAGTCGGAGGCTAGTATATTTCGAAATTGTTTGGGTGCGAGTCGTTTGTGAGTGTGCATCGCAGTGGTTTGAGTGTTAGTCGTAGGTGAGTTGTTTGGGTGTTAGTCGGAAGCCAGTATATGTCGGAGTTGTTAGTGTTAGTCGTAGGTGAGTGTACGTCGTAGTGGTTCAGGTGTACGTTGTAGGTGAGTGCATTTCACTCTTGTTTCACAAAGGTTTGAAGCTGACAGTATACCGTACATTTCTTTATTGTCTGAATTTGTGTTGGAAGCGAATGTAAATCACAATGGTTTTGTGCACGCCATACTGATAAAAATAGCTTGGTATGTCTGTTTTTGCCTGTTCAAGCGTTCAGATGGTTACCAGCCTTTTTAAGCGAATTTTAATTGTGTATCTCGATGGCTAGTCTTTGAATTCTGTTTGAATTTATGCTACTTAGTAAACGGGCTGACACACCACGTGCATTGAATTTACTGCGAGCATGTCGCAAAGAATTAAATTTTTGCGAGTGATAATAATAGACTATAAGTTTTCTCTTAGCGTCTCCTAAATGCAATAACTTACAGTATATTGTCTTTGGTCTTAATCTCCTTCAACGATGAATGTCTTGTATCCGCAATAATATTTTAGCAATACAGATTTGCCTACTCACCACCAGTATAACAACATAATTATGACATAAGTAACGTATTGAGTAGGATAGACTCGCGGTTCACTACCCGCATCGCACTGTTGGTACAAACTGCAGTGTCACCGAGAAAGAATGTGATAACATATCTAATGCTATATGTCCAATAAATGAATTTTCCATGTTACCTTAACTGTATTCTTTTGCTCAGCGATCTCTCTGGCAACGACATCACGGTTATCAAGAGGGACGACTTGGTGCCGTATGCTTGCCTCCGCAAACTGTGAGTACATCCTTAGTATCCTTAGTATTTGTCTTAGTATCCTTAGTATTTGTCTTAGTATCCTTAGTATTTGTCTTAGTATCCTTAGTATTTGTCTTAGTATCCTTAGTATTTGTCTTAGTATCCTCTGGCAACGACATCACGGTTATCAAGAGGGACGACTTGGTGCCGTATGCTTGCCTCCGCAAACTGTGAGTACATCCTTAGTATCCTTAGTATTTCTGGGATGGATCGCCGCCTCTTATTATTCAGAACACATCGGCTGTCTTCAGAAAGTCATTTATTTGAATACCAGCTCCGAACACTGACACCAATTCCAGTCATTTTGGAACTGATTGCGTTCATGTTAGTGATAGCGCTGGACTATCTTCATGTAAAACATGATCATTACAAACTACTTTTCCGTACAATAATATCCTCTTTGCTGAACACTTTCATGTGAAGAAAACATTTATGTTTTACCAACGTAGAAAAAATATACTAACGAAGCATTTCCTTTTACTACTTCATCGCTCGTTACTCATTGCTTACTTCTTTATATTGTTACGCACATTTTAATTGAACAAGTCCTCTTAAAGGGTTTGGTTTTCTTTTCATACCTGAATAAACTTAGTGTATGTATTTCTGTTTCGCAATTGTGTTTTTATTTTATTTTATTTCGGTAACATGTTCCAAATTCCTTTTGCTGTAACCGTTCAGGAGGAGCCTATCATGGATTTTATTAAGTTTACGAAGCCTTGGCCTACTTTGTTTTCCGTTCATCTGTATTATCAGTATAGTAATTTCAAAATTGGCAATTTCTTTAAATGAGCGTGACATGATAACAATTTATTGAAACAAGCCCGAGCGTCCAATAGTCTGCTCATATATCGGTTTAATTTGGCATCGGTATATAACTGAATATCGGTAAAATGTTGATTGGTTCTAATCATCAATTCATCTTTGACTGTCGGTGTCAGGGCCGAAATGCTACTATTCGAAGACTGCAGAGACCCTATACAGTCTTGTTAAAACCGAAGGTAATCAGTTGGATAACGTAAGACTATCTTATCAAATGTATTGCTTGCTGCAGATCGAGTTGCTTGCTAATCCTTTTTCAGTCTCATCGCTGATTTGTTCCTCCATCTTGCATTATTAGGTTGCGCAGGGCTGACTTGCATTTGTTTCAGGCATGATGTGACCGCTTGTGCATATAGGAACTGTAGCAGCTGTGGAGTAATTAATTAAGTTCCGCAGCCCACTTGTATTATTTTAATGTGAAGCATCTGAAACTTTTATTAGCCTTCATGCACGCAAAACGAATCTTTAATAGATTTAAGTATCCTACTTTCCTACCCAACATTAAAATTTCCAAGCTTTTGCCCCGCGGCAGCGGCGTCCTCGATCGTGCGGTGGTCGTTAGCTCTGCAATGTCGTAAATTTTGCAGCAGTCGTTAGTTCTGGGACGTTCTGTTTTTCGATGGTCGTAAGTTCCGCAGTAGTCGTTAGTGTTGTGGTGGTCGTTTGTTCTGTACGTGGTGGTGTCAGGTTGTCGTATGTCACCACCCATACCTTCAGTAGCATTACCCGCGTCACCTTCCGTGATGTCAGTGTAGCAAGTCTATATAAGCTCCACAAGTATCACATGAAGCAGTCGCAGAATAAACTTTATTTGCTGCAGTCGCAGCCCAGCCTCTTTATTATACGTTCTTATGGCTCCGACTCTCGCTGGTCCGCTTGCGACCGTGTCGATATAGCTATCTGATCTATTCTTGAAATAATACCTCGCCGCGCCTATCTTAAATATGTAAGAATTAGAGTTATCACTCATTCATTCCTCCTTATTATATTATATGAACTATAATTCGAACCATAATTATATGAACTATAATTCAATGGTTTTCGGTTCTGCGAGTGTCTCGGAAAAGACGCTCGGGCAGAACTGGTCGTTTTTTCTGCGCTGTCGCACACTTTTCTATGTAGTAAGTTTATGCAATGATCACTAGTTTTGCGATTCTCTTAAATCCTTGATCGTAAATCAAGCCACGATTATAACTTCCGTATAACGTAATCGAATGTCTTGTTGATTGTAATCAATGCGACGGTCGTAAATCCCGGTATGAATTACCATCGATATCTCGCTATTACTGTTAATCTAGCGATCACCGTAAGTCGCACGAAATTAATTGATTAAAAAGACGATGATTGTTCCTCTCGCTGCGAATGTTAGGTGTGTGATTATCATTAATCAGGCGATGATGGTGACCAGCCAGTGATCTGAGGCCACCAATACAGCCTTTATGCCGCTATATCAACTCTATAACGTATTATTGAACCGTGATGTCTCAATACGCAGCCATGTGATCGTCATAGGCAAACTCAGCACACGGATACCAGACAAGAAAGTTCGGTGTCCTCTTCAAGTTGAAGAAGTCTCAAGAGAAATTATTAATTCAGTGTCACAATAACATGCTTATAAATACTGATACCCAAGCATGCCAGGCAGCGAACGTAGAACAATTAAATATGTAATTAAGTACCACCTCAGAATGTATGAGATGCTTGGGTTTTCCTTTTGCTCCTGAAGTCCCTCAAAGACCTAGAATTTTGCATGCCTCGTAAGTGGCTCTCCCGTGGCCATTAGTTAGTATATCCTCTCCGTGCACTTTACTTTGAGTACTCGATGCTTTTTTACTTTACTCTCCATGAATATTAAATAAATGTTAACTAGACTGCCGTGCAGCAATTCCTTGAGAGAACACCAGACGAGTTACGCACTCGGGGGCTCTCAACTTTGGCACTTTTCTGTACTTGAGCATAAAGTTGCTCGCTTTATCTGCGCCGCGGGATGTTGCCGAGACCGCAATAACAGCGGGGTTCGATGCTCGTCTCGTACGGGGACCAAAACATTCATGGAACTACGTATTTGAATCTAGTTGGCATCTGAAAAATTGTTCGGCTACCTGGAAATTCGAAATTAATTCTTTGATGATAAGTCGCAGGTGTGTAAACAAGCATACTCTGGCATCTAATTGTAGCATCATAATACTTGAACAAATATTCCTTGCCAAGTATAATCTAACAGCTCCTCCTATTTCTAAGGGAAAATGTTATAAAACCAACATTCATCGTAAGAATAATTAAGGGCAGTGGACAGTACTGCAATATTCTTGCGCTCGTGTGACAGATAAAAAATAATAATAATGAATCCTGCACAATAATGACATTACAGCAGAACTGGAGTAATTAGCATTAATAAATGTCGAGCGTTGTGATCGCCAGCGACCATGTCGTAAACGTACATGGTTCCATTTAGCTGTTTTTATGACAACGACGTTATGAAAGTGAGATATTGTTCATATGTTTGCAGATGCAGAGAACAGAATCAAATTATCAGATATTCAATACGGATCGAATATAACCACTCACAGCTTGGACATCAGAATAAATGAAATGTATGAAATAGCCACGAAAACCATGTTTATTATAGAAGAGGTATTTACTGATCATAGATGTGATAAATTCCTTATCTGTGTTATTACGTTCAAAGAGTTTCTTAATCAAAAGCCAGGGGATATGAGAACATCTCATGACCTGACAGCCGTCTGGTCAAGTTCCATCGTTAGCTTTCTTGCCTGAAAATCTTGGGATTGTTTTCTGCCTTGGAAAAACACAGGACGGGCCATGCAATGGCTCGGCGTGGAATGGAAGTGCGGGGGCTGTTCTGCTCCGCGTGTGTCCGGATTGCCCTTTTTTTTTTGCTCTTTTTTTGCCTTTTTTTTTTTTTTAAGAAAACCGAGCTTCACCAGCTGAAATACTTAATTGTTTTTAGTTGAATGTCTGTATTTCTTGCGACCTTATCGTACTAAAGAAAGTAATTTATATACTACTACAAAGTAAAACCATCGTAAGTCATGATCAAGTGATCATGAGTCATGCATGTTGCTGACTTGAATTTTAATGAAAATACTTTGATGTACTTCGCTTGGATGGTTTAATACGAGTCTTGGAAGCAATTTTTTATTCTGTTTAAATAACTTTATTTCTATTACTTAACTTACTCTCGCGAGTAAAGATCTACTAAAACCTTGTTTTTCTCGCGTGTGCACGAACTGAAATTGATGTTAGATCGCTATAGTCCTCGCCACGTCGACATGTTTAAAAGCTTAGCAGGGGTGAAGCTTTGCAGGAGTAACTTTTAGTTCATCGTTCTCATTTTACACATCTTGTTGTACGCGACTTATCATGATTTACTTAGGACTTATCATGATATACTTAAAACTTATCATGATTTACTTGGAACTTATCGTGATTTACTTAGAACTTATCATGATATACTTAAAATGTATCATGATTTACTTAGAACTTATCGTGATTTACCTAGAACTTAGGATTTACTTAGAACTTATCAGGATTTACAAAAAACTTATCGTGATTTACTTAGAACTTATCATGATTTACTTAGAACTTATCACGATTCACTTTGAACTTATCACGATTTACCTAGAACTTTTCATGATTTACTTAGAACTTATCACGATTTACTTAGAACTTATCACGATTTACTTAGAACTCATCACGAATTACTTAGAACTTATCACGAATTACTTAGAACTTATCACGATTCACTTAGTACATATCACGATTCACTTAGAACTTATCACGATTTACTTAAAACTTGTCATGATACGCTTAAATGGGCAAGTTCAACTGGCTATACACAACTCCTATTGTGTAACTGGGCATGCTTGAATAGTTATACGTATTAACTGCTTACTAGTATGATTAACTTGAACACGTCTGGTTACACACAACTGCTTTACTCAATTGGCTTAGCACAACTTGTATCTCCCTGTTAGTGGTTATTTCAATTGAAAAGCACACAAACATCGAAGTGATGATCAGCACAAACAGAGCACAGCCTGAGCGCCACAAGCCTAATCAAGTTTCATTAAAGCCATCAGGGCTGAAGTGTCTTTGTTGCGCCTCGCGCCGAGCGCTAACGACCAAACCAGGCGCCA